CCAGGGCCGTAATGTCAGTAAAGGTCACGAAATGTGGGCAAGGGCGGGTCTCCTCACAAAACCGGGGGGCGGCGGGCGAGCGAGCGCGGGGTCCTGCCACCTTGTGCAGCCGAGACATTAGGAAGGATTCGGGGCGATTCGGAGGAATTTCTTCTTTGAAAGCGTGATTAGGCACAGAAATGCCTCATTAAAGGCATCCAGGGGGCAGCTGGAGTCACCGTCCCTGGGGGTGTTCGGGGAAAGACTGGACATGGCACTCAGTGCCGTGGTCCAGCTGACGTGGTGGTGTCGGGTCATGGGTTGGGCTCGATGATATCAGAGCTCTTTTCCAACCTCACTGATTCTGTGACTCGGGTTTGAGTGTTTAATGTGCTGCTACGTGAGATCTGCTCCGTGTGAGCGCGTTCCCGGCTTTTTAAATGCATAAAATAAGTGTTGAAACGGTTTCCTTTTAACGTCACAGGCATCCAACCCTTGGGAAATACACAGCAAAGTTAAGATTTAACTTAATGTTGCAGAGTCCTCCCATCGTATCACACCTGCTGATCTCTCCAGCCACCCTGCCGTTCTCCTGCCGCCGGCTCCAGGCCGTTCCGAGGACGGGCGCCGGTTCTGTGGAGCGCCCCACCCGTGTGAGGCACCCGCGCCGCTGTGCTGGCTCCACCGCTGCTGCCCTCTGCTCCCCCGCGCTGTGCTGACACCCGCACGGCCCTGCGGGTGGGCACGGAACAGATACAGCCGATGGGCTGTGCGCTCCTCCCCTGTTCCTCACCAAAAAAAAAACAACGGGAAAGTAAATCCTGTTTACCTGCTGGCATTACAAGTGCTTGTGTCTGCCGAGTCCTGCGGGTTGCACAAAGCTCAAGTGCAGCACAATTTGATGATTAGTGTTTGAGGTATAATTTCCAGCGAAAATGTGCCTTTCAAGCTACACCCTCACCTTCATCAGAGAGGACTGAAAGTGACACTTGTTTCCAAAATACGGCTTCATCTGGATCCCCACTGTACTGTTCAGCTTCTTCCTTGGCTTCCCCCTGTTCCATTAATAAGGACATTCGAGGCTAATGTGATTTCTTCCTCACCTTGTCTGTAATACAGAGTAGGGAGAGAGGTAGTGATCTCTCATCTCATGAAGATGCTGTGAAGAAGCCTAACTTTTCATGTATTTGGTTAGTTCTTGCTCAGAAAAACAAACCCAGGCTTGATATCAGCTTGCTGGAGGACTAGAAATTAACCAAACTTTCTTCAGCTTCAAGTGCTGGTGACCGTGCAGGGCTGCTGCCCTGCAGGTTCCTTGACATACGTGCTTTGCTTTTAGATAGGCTGGGATGTATAAAAGAAGCAAAATAATGCTACTGATCTTCGCATCTAAGAAAAAAGTCTGAAAATATTATCACTTTTGCAATCATGAAACCCATCCAGGAGTAGCCGGATAGCGCTGTTTCCAGTGTCCTGTGGGATAAAGCAGTTCTTGCTGTCATGCAAGGGCAAGTCTCTACAGGAGCCTCTTGTGGAATCTTTCTTGGCATGTAACTTGTTGGAAATTTGACTTTTGCAAGTCAGTTCTACACTACTAAGCAGATTCTGGCTTCCTTCATGAGGCAACAACAGCAGCAACAGCAGCTGACCTCCAGGAAAATAAAGGGCAAAGTGCAAATATTGATCAGTTGGCTCAAAAGGCATTTTTCCTAAGGTGTCTTTAGTCTGTAGCACTTCACTGCTTGGAAAGCAAGTACTTGCTGGCAGTCTGCAGCAGACTTGATGGAGATGTTGTTCTGCAGGCTGGGAGTGGCTCTGCAGCTAAAGAAAATGTTATCCTGAAGGACAGTGTGTGATTTTCCCCAGGGTTTCCAAGGTGCTGCAACACCCCCAGAGGTCCCAGGACACTTCTGAATAGTGTAGCCATCTGTCTGGAAGCTTGCAACCTGCATTTTTATCAGTCAGTCTGCTCATTCCTGGAGACATTACTGATGGATTCATGTACATGGATGGTGTTCATGCACACACCAGTTACATCTGTGAGGCTCATGAAGCACACATAGGACTGTTCCCCTGCCCAACTCAGGTTTATAGCAAGGCCAAGTGGCACCTGGGTTGGGATAACTGGCTCATGGGAGGATGCTGAAGCTTTCAGAATTTCCTGCAGTGCATGGCAAAACAAGGATTCACCTTCTTCTTTTAATACTTTTCACATTCTCTAAACGAGGTTCATCAAAAGAATGAAGGGTACTGGCATCTGTATGTAAGACAGGAAGCTTCTGGTAAGCTCACATGCCAACTTCACCAAGCAACACTATGAAATAAAGGTTTCAGGAGATCACTGAACAATTGTTAAGTGAAAAAATGCTCCTGATCAAAGGAAAATCATTATTATTATTATTATTATTATTATTATTATTATTATTATTATTATTATTACTACTACAAAAAATGCAAGATAATTTCAAATTCAGTGTTGTTACCTGTTCCTTCTCCTAATGAAAGAAAAGATAAAAAGCAGAGCAATTTTTATAGTTACAGGATTATAAATGGATGTTATCAACAATTCTAATAGTCATTGGAAATAGTTATTTAGATAGGAAACTATCCATTTTTGTCCTCCCTGGAAATACAGTAAAACACTGATTTATATCACCTCTGCCAATTTTTTTACTTTTCATGGTGTTTCATTAATATTCATGTATTTTCTTTATTAAAAGCTCTTAAAACATCCTAGAATTATTAAATTGTCCTACAGAAAACTAATGCTGAAAGCTAATTCATGAATGAGATAAACAACGAAGAGGAAAACATAATCAAATCATAAGCAGAGAATAACACTAGAAAATAATTTAATGAAAGATGATTATGTAAGATTTCATAATGGAGTACCTTGCCATGTGTGACTTTAGTATTACGTCAAGGGTGTGTTGCATGACAGTTGGCCAAAACTCTTTGTGTTCTATTGCTCTGGGTGTGATCCTAAAATGTTATTTTTCGGGTTGCAGCTGCTGTTACAAATGTCTGCCATTGGGTTGAAAGCAGAGGGGAACATCCAGGACTCCCCTCAGCTCGCTGTCTGCATCCAGATGAAAGCAATCCACACCTCATTCCAAGAGCCAGAAATTTGCTGCATGATTTTTTTCTTCCTCCTGTGCCACCATAGCTCTATCTCAGCAGGCAGCCAGGGTGGCTGCCAAGGAACAGCTTGTGGCCACGTCGCTTCAGGCTCATTTCCTCCGTGGGAGGATCTGTGCCGTGACACGCTTCCCCAGGTCTCCTGGGTGGCACCATATGGTGGCCCCTTAAATTGTAATCTCTGTTCTTCATGTTCATTTAATTCAAAATGCTTGAAGTAAACTGAGGCCATGTACCAGCCCTTCTGAGTGGCTTCTGAGTGGCAGTGCAGGAGGACCCTGCTGCGTGCTCAGCGGCGTGAGAATCTCGGCGGTGGATGGTGAGCTGGCTCCATTCATTTTGGAGGACAGGCTGGGGAGGACAGTGGCACAGTCTTATCTGTGCTGGTCACACAGCAGCCTCCAGGTCCCTGCCCTGACTTCTTCCTTGTGGGAAGAAGTCAATTAACTCCGAGTGAGAGCACAAAAGTGGATGAACATATTCAGATGTGAATGACAGGGGACCAGATCCTGGGACTGGGCTGAAGAATTAAGTTATCAAACAGAACAGATGTAGTCTTAGCTCCGTTTTCATATTTAACACCTAAATCACCAGCTTCACTCCAGATGTATCCTCCCATTCTAAATATAAATAAATATGCTATACTCTGTTTTAAACTGCTTAGCAGGAACAGTCTTTTCTCTCATGTATGTCATTATTCTTTGTTTCATGTTTCCACTTGTTTATCTTCTTCTATTTTTCTTCCTATCCTCCCCACTCTCTTCAATTTTTTTTATCCAAACATTTCTTTTATCAGAATTCCTCTCTTCCTTTTCTCTTGTCCACATTGCTTCTCTGCATTTCTCACTGAAAATGTCTCTATTTTGGTCTATGTCTCCCATCCCTTCTGACTAATTCCCATTCAGGTCTACATGTTCTAGTAGTTCTGGCTTTAGACAGCAACACAGATTGGGGAATTATAATGCTTAATTGTACTGTCAAAATCCTTCAGATGATTTGTTTCCTTTGGAGTCACTAGAGTTTGGAAGAGAGGCAGTTTTCTAGGATCTTCCAGATGTTTTGCTTCTAGTAGTGATAGAAAATTTGATTAAGAAAGTATAACTTCTGTTCCTTATTCTGATTTCTTTTCTTCATTATTATTTGGGAAACCAACATCTTGAAGGAGAAAGGTGAAAATGAAATTCTAATGTCATTTTTCATGCTTGTATTTTTTATCCTTTTATGCCTCTTTGCTTCTCATTATGTTAACTTGGGTTTTTAGTCCCAGGAACAATTAGTATTACAATGTACAGAGCAGCACTGCTGTAGAAAAGGTTCTTCCCATTTATATACTTAATTCTATGGGAAAAGAGATGTTACTTTACTCTTCTGTGTAAGCCCAGCTACTGTAGAGTTATTTGAATGTAACATTGATTGGCTTGAAAACTGTGAGTAAAAGAAACCAGACATATTTTCTGTTGTTGCTCGATCTCACTGGAAAGTTGTGTTCAAGGCTCAGTTCAGTCCTTGTCTGCATTTTGACATTTCATGTATGTCTTTCAGTATATACAAATATATAGTTTTATTCAAAATTGAGATCTTGGGCTTTTTTTTTGTTTAGAAGGCACAGGCAAATGCTTTAAACAAACATTTGTGAAACCCGAGTTCATGGAAAGCTTTGTAAAGAAACCAAATGTTTCTACTTAATGTTTTTTACACAGGCATCCTTCTTCTGCTGTGTTGTATTTCCCAGCACCTTAGAGATAACATTTCTGTTGATAAAACTCTATGTAGCACCTTTCTTTTTCACAGTGACAGAATATTTTTGAACAGCACTCACTTGTGAGCCTGTGAGAAAAAATTCTGTCCTGAAGTTTTTTTTCCAGCTCCATTGCTCACTGCCTGCCTTTTCTGTGCTGGGTTCTGCTCTCTGCTACCAGCTATGAACCACTGATTTACATCCTGGCTTTCAGACTGCTTTTCCAGTTTTACAAATAACTGAGTTCTGATTCTCTGCCCCTCTCAGGTTTGTGTCTCCCCCGAAATAAATGGGAGATTCTGTGCTTCCTTATATATCCTAATAATGCAATTGAATAAACAGGCACAATTTGTCAGAATTGCGTTACCGGCAGAATCCCAGATTAACAATTCTTTGATTGTGGGCTTTTCGGTGCTTTAGAAAGGAGAGCTGTGCAGCAGAATTGCCGTGCGGCGGCAGTGCAGCCCAGGGATGGAAGTGCATCTGTCCTGGAGTGGGAGCGCCTCTGCGCCTTCCCTGCGGTCAGTAGCGAACCATTTCAGCAGTGGGGCACTGGAGGCTGCCTCGTTACTTGGGAAAGCCGTGTTAGGATTACATTAAGGGAACAAACTGAAAATAAACTGGTTACACTAGAATGGGCGTGACCACTTGGTATTGCTTCCCCAGTTGTGTCCATGGTGTTTATTTCCTTTCCCTGAGCACAAGGAAGGGGATGTCTCAGTACCTGGTTTGTTGCTATTGCCCCCAGTACCCTTGCTCCCTCAGGGGAAGGGATGCCTAGTTTAGATTTGTCCTTTAGTAATTTCGATTTTTTCTGGTTTGAATGAAGCTCATACATCTGAGTGGAATCAAATCTATACTGCCCTCCTCCCCGCAGCAGAGAAACACAGCAGAACTGGTTGCAAAGTTTTTTTAACCTCTGCAAAATCCAAGCCAGTGCTATGGTGTACAGAAAGGGTCATGTACCACAAAGCTCCAGCCCTGAGGCATGTGTCATGACAATTCTATCCCAAACTCTTATGATATAAAGCCATTTTGCACTGAGCCACATTGATCCTGACAGCCTTTAGTGGATTGTGATTCATCCCTTCCTTCCTCTAATTTGGGATGATATGCCACTTTCTTTAGTATGTGTGCATCTGGATCCGAGGGCAGAAACTCTGCAAATAATTATGGGAGAGAACACTTATGAAAGCAGATCAATCAAATTACTGAATTGAGGACATTCTTTATTTTGGTTTCCTGAGCTTTGATACTAAAATATCCTTTTAGCCCTTTGTGGAGGACTGTGGAATAAGATTTATCTCTCTAATCTCATACTTTCAGAAATTCTTTTCTTCCATGTGATTAAGGGCGTTCAAAATTGTCTTTAATTATGCATCTAAGACTGCTCTAAATGCATTCAAATTCATTCAAATAGAATGGGGAATAGAATTTAAAAAAACAAACTTCAGAGAGGTGAAGAGTAGTCCCCTTTTCTTGAGGAAGGTTGAAAAACATTTAAATGTAAAGATTTCTTGAGGAAACTCTCACCAGACTGCCTAGTCTCTTCTGGTAATCTGCATGAGTAGAATGAACCCTGTATTATTATTTTGTTCCTAGGTTTCAAAATTAAGTACAGCTTTGTTAGAGTCCAATTCAATGTCACCTGGTCCTGAGCACTACAGGCTACTGGCTACACAGTTTTTTCTAAATGTTTAGCTCTTGTTATAAACAAGCTCTTCCATACAAGTTTGTCCTAAATACTCATCATATCTTAACTGTATTATTGCTTTACATTCAGATATGAGATTTTTCTTGCTTTGCTGTCAGTCATGCAAGTCCTGAAAAAGAGGCCAAAGGTAGCACAGGTCCAAAACTTCTTAGTAGTTTTGGGGAGGCTGATCTGGCTAAACAAAATTTGGAGCTGTGTCCTGGGCCAGGAAGGAATGGGGACAGCTATAAAACTGCAAGGAGAGCTGTGTGGAGCTGGGTTTGTGTCTCCTGAGGCCTTGGTGGAGATGGGGAGCACAGACACCATGACTGCCTGAGCAGAGCTGCAGCCTCAAGGACCTCTCTGGCAGCAGCAGCAACCAGCAAGACTTTCCAGAGACCTTTCCAGGCAAAGTAAGCACTAGGGCCATCATAATTTTGTTGCCCCTGTCTGTCAGCTGTTCTAGGCAAACTGCAGCTTTGCCCATGGTTCTAGCTGACCCTGCACAGAGATGACTTTTATTCCAGCTGTCTATCTCCTTGAAGTGTTTACCTAGGAGTCTTTGCCTGGAGGGCCAAGGTGTGCTGCAAACATAGACTTGCAAAAATATTTGCAGAAGAGTAATTCACTGTAAAGTCACAAGAGAGGGTGGAAGACGGGAATGTCTCTCCAGGAAGCAGCTGGTGGAGGCTAGGAAGGATTGTCTGTGTATCTACCATCTTGATGAGAACAAGATTTATCATACTGGTTTTCAGATCACTGGACTTCTTCATACTAAATCAAAATCAATGAGAAGCTTCCTATTGTTTCTGTATGTTTACAGTCAACCCCACTGTGTATTAGCTTTCAAATATATCAGTATGTGCATATTTGCAGTCAAAAATAAAAGCCTATAATACTTTGAAAGAAAAAAGAAAAATTAAAATATTTGCAGATTGTGTATCCTATGTTCAGAGTGTGGAAGAATGATTAACTTCAGCTGCACTTAAACAATGAGTAAACATGAGGAAGAGTTCATGTCTGGAACTATTTTTAAGTGTTCATTAATTTTACAGTCTTTGCCAAATAAGGAAGAATTTATTTACTTTTGTCTGACTTACTTCAACTGTTTTAGAGTCCCATAAACTTCATACAACAATTATGTCTTGGATCTTTTTACTGTGTGATACCACCTCCCTTTGCTGTTTTTTAATCATGTGTTTCCTGTTTCATATGGGAAGCAGTGTTCTCCCAGATCCTTCACCAGCGAGAACCCAGTATTCTCTAGCTGAATTGACACAAAAATTGCAATTGACAGCAATTTATTTTTTTTTCCATTAGAAACCTCAATAGTCAAAACTCAAATTATGTCTCTTGGAATATTTCCTATTGCTTTTGCAGGTGGCTATTTTTTTTTTTTATCCTCAAACAAAGCTGATACATCAAGCGAATCAACTGTTTCAATGTATATATTAGGCAATTAAAGCAAACTGGTAAAATTCTGCTAGCCCATTTACCTGAAGCAAGTACATTTTGCTGAGGAAAGGCACGCTGTAAACTGGATGGAATGGGTACAGATAAGGAAAATTTATGTGTTATATTTTTATGCCACAGTCCAACAGTAATTTTCAGCAGAATTTATAGCAATTTGTTTTGATTTCCTGTGAAATGGGTTCTCTTTTTGCATTAATTTTTCAATTTTTCAGTAGACACACAGACTGAGTATCTGGTTTCCACAAAGGCTGGAATAGACATTTTTAAGATTGCAGGATGGCTGGATGTTTATATTTATATTATTTATATGTTTATATTTCTTGGTTTTTGTATACACCTTATACATTTCTTTCTTCTTCAGAATTTAACTCCTAAAAGATTTTAAGGCATTCTAATTGCAACATATAATGAGCTTCTTAGATATTCAGCTTGGTCAATGCTTTAAAGAATCTGAGGATCTATGCTGGAAAAAAGAATTGGGTAAGCCCATTTTAGAACCATTATGACTGCCATCAATTTCCAGTACTGCTATTTATCCAGAGAGGGTTCTAAGAGGGAAAACTCAGTGGTGGTAGTCGTGGGTACTTGTGAGGAGTAGGCAGCCATGAAACCAAAGGATGCACAATATTAGAATGTTATTTTTACCTTTTTTCCCTTGGACAGCAGAAGACAAGACCTGGAATGATGGACAAACAGAATTTGTGAGAGAACATTTCTCAATGGCTGGAAAAGTGTTTGAGACAAGTGACCCAGCTGGCTGACCCAAAGTGGTATGAATGTTGCAGATTTCCAGAGTATGTTTTTTATAGCTCTTCTAGGAGAAGTTTAGTTGAAGGAACAGATCAGAAAATAGAAGCAAATGAAACTTGAGCCAGTGTGGGTTTTCCTGTTATTTTTCCAAACTTTTTTGAACACGTACATTCAGTCAACTAAAGAACTTCTCATTTGTCTGCATACTTCTTTCCACTTGTCCAGCAGAGGAAAGGCCAGAGTTTGAAATATAAAATGGTGGTGCTTCAGGCAGCTGTATTCAACTGATTTTCTTTCTGGTTTGCCTCAAAATGGTACTGATTTTAGTAATTAGATTATGCACTTGGCCTACCTGTAGCTGAAATATTTTTAGTCTTATGTAGTCTGAAGCTTTCTGTTAGCTGTATGTTAAAGAATGTTCAAGAGCATAAATGGAAAGAAATGGAATAAAATGCTTAGCAAATTGCTTCTGGATTGACTTTTCCTGGACAGTAGATAGGAATAACTTCTTCATTTCTCCCAGTGCATGTAGTTTTGACTCAGCCATGCCTCTGTTGCAGGTTGCCCATGCCAGCACATGATGTATCACTAGGAAGACCAAAACATTTTGCAAGGAACAATATGCCTTGGGTAAAATGAAATGTTTGATATTAAAGGTACCATCTTGACCTTGTAAGTGTAATTAATTTTCTTGTTAATATATTAGAATTAATATAAGTCCCAAAATGACACTGAAATAAGCACTTGAGCTATTTTTACTGAGCACTTGAGCTATTGTAGCATTTAATATTTAAGATCTGATTTTATTTTTTTAAAAAATAAAATATTGGCCCCATGAAAGCCAGAATGAGACAATGTCACCTTCTAAGGCTCACTGATACTTAGATCAGGGCTTCTTAACAGTATAGTGGGACAGATGCCAGTTTTGGGCACATGTGTCCATTTGTGCTGCTCTCTCCATTTGGATGGAATTACTGGTGATCAAAGAAAGGGCCCAAGCATTTGCAACCACAGTAGAAGTTTGAACCATCAGAGGCTGAGTAAAAGCATCCCAGAGGCTGCCAGCTGCTTTCTCTGCTCTAGAGTGTTACTCTGGTACCATTTCTTACCAGACCTCATTTCTGCAAGGCTGTTATTCCTTCCATAGCTGGAAAATTGTTGTAACTGAGTGGAAGAGGAAAGATTCCTGTTAACCAGACTATCATTCAGCATTAGGGAAGTTGCAGTTAATTGTAACCCTTTGTAGTACCAGATCACCAATCTTAGAATATAATGAATCTCAAGGACCTCAAAATGAGAGTTTCTGACTCTCCCATGCAGGCCATTGTTACAGGGACATTAATTCTGAAAACAAAAGCTTGCATCCTCTTTTTGCATGCACAAAGCTGCATTGTTATCAATGGTATGTTTATGCAAAAAAAGCTGTGGATCTGTCAGCCTGCCCTGAAGCCTTCTTGAAAAACATCTAGGCAGCCAGCTGAATAAGTTCTTAATGAATTTGAACATTTAATGTTGTCAAACTGAAATTTGACAGAATTAAAAGCAATTTTAAAAGAGGCTGTGCATGTTTTGGAAAGCCATAAAAATGTAATAATATTGGTGCAACCAGCCCCATTGCAACTAAGGCCATAATGATGCTCATTGGACCTCTAGGAGGAATGAGCACCTGGGCAGGTAAAAGCAGCATACCTGAATCCACATCTTTCAGAGCGTGGGGAGAAACTCAGATCTTAATGAAAATTGATTTTGAGATTGCTGCCATTTTTAAGATGTTCTTTCTTTTAGTGGTTTCCCATCTGTCAAATATCATTCAGGGGAATGCTTTTGGACTTTTGCTGGTGGGAATTACTGTTATGAAATTTTATGCAGGTAATGCTGGCATGTCTTGATTTATATTGTTCCTTCAAATGGAGATCCATTAAGAATAATTTAGAAAATCCATATTTTGAATAGATTTTTTAAAAGGATCTTTTGTCATGGAAAAGTAGCATCATGTAGAGATATCGAGCTGGAGTTATATCACGTCATCTGCATGCCAGAAGAAATTCAGATGTGATAAAATGGTTCTCTTGTCTTGCCTGTTTGGGTTAGCCTGGGCATTTTTGCATAGCAGCTCTGCTTTATTTGAGTGTAAAAATGTGTGTTAATAAAATGGTTCACAAACAGTAGAAACCTCTTGCTAACAAATTAAGTTTGAAGGTATCATTATGTTATTAATTAAATAAAGATGACTTTCCAACTTTTGTAAACATATGTTCTCAAAGAAGTATCCAATGCAGACAATAATAGAAAAAGGAAGAAAGAATAGGGTCCTATCCAGACAGAGTATAAAGTCAGAGCAAAGGCACAGGGGGAGCAGGTTCCTATTACATGTCAGTCATGCAAAACAGAATTTTCCAGTATTAGAAACATCTACAAAATATGTCTCAAGAGAAACTTGCACATGAGATGCTGCACTGCCAGACAGCAGCGTACAGGGTATACAGTGCATGATATCAGAGAACACCTCCAAGGACAAAAGGTTAACAGTGATGGTATGTTCTTTTCTTGGGGATCATTCTGTGACCATAGCCATCCACTGTGGACTGTAAAAGCCCGTGGTTTCATGCAGAAGCTCTGCCTAGAACTAAGATTTAAATAGGAGTGAAATACAAAGTGAATTCAAAATTATTTATGGACAGCAATTTAAGAATAGGAACAAAAGGCATGGAAATGAGAAATCAGAATAGTAAGGTCAAATGAAAGGATTCAGAGGTTTACCTGAAAATGGTGGGGTCATCTTTCACAGTTTAATTTATAGGAGGAGAGACATAGAAGTGAGTCATGCTGTCTGAGCTCATTATTTAGACTTCATGGTCACTGAAGAGAGGTAAACCTACAGAATTATAAGCAGTAAAATAAATGGACCCATGGAAAAGACTGTCTTTGGATATGTACTTATTCTGAAACAGCCACATGTAGGTGAGAAGGATTATATGTAATAATGATCATGGCAGACAAGAAAGGCAGGTGTTAAATACTAGTTTTAACTAAGTAGAGTAAACCAGCAAATATTAGAGGAACCTTCTCAACCATGAAAACAAATATCTTCAGTCATGCATGCCTACTCTGCATCTAGGATTATATGCAAGCTCAGAGTAAAGGAAGGTTAGTTGGGGGAATCGCAGAATTATGGAATGGTTTGGGTTTAAAGGGACCTTAATGATCATCTAGTTCCAAACCCTTGCCATGGGTAGGGAGCATTCCAGTAGATCAGGTTGCCCAAAGTCCATCCAACCTGGCCTTGAACACTTTCAAGTATGTGGCATTCACAATTTCTTTGGGCAACCTGTTCCAGTGCTTCCCCACCCTCAGTTTATTGGTACATTTGAACCCATTAGAGTACCAGAGAATATCACATTTTTTGCTGTCAATTTTGTTTAAGGAGAAATAGAAGCAGAAAACTAATCCAGAAATGTAGTGATACTGATCTTTTACCTCTTCTAATAGCTCCTGAAAACTCATTTTCATTTCCTTTTCCATAGCTCCTATTAAACAAGCAAAACCCACAATAACTTTTTCACTGCACTCCAAATGTACTTCAGAGATTATTTTTCTTTGGTGTGGCCAGTGCTGAAATAATGCAGATACCTCTAGTGGATTTTTTAACTCATACTAAAAAAGGGGGGAATTTTGCCATCTCTTCCTGCTCTGACCCTGCCAAATGCTACACAGACTGAAATTTGCGTGGGGGTTTGGTTTAGTTTTTAGGCATATGGACATATTTTTCATTCTTTATTATAATTTAAAATATTACTGCAATTATGCTCATATCCAACCCATGATGGAAAATAGAGCTATGGAAAACTAGCCAAAGGTAATCTTGGTTCCCTGGATTTATGTGCACTGCTTTTGAAACAGTCTCTTTTCCATGTTGCCCAGGGCAAGAGTCTACATTTATCTCTGACTTGTTGCTTTTATTTTGCACTTTGCAGTAGAGATATTCTTGATGTATGTTTTACAATGTGTAGCTTTCCCTCTCAAATATAAATACATTGGATCACTGTTATTCTGGTAACTATCCTGTTTGGAATCTGGACCTGGCTTGTATTTTGTGAAATAGTCATTCCAGTCACAGAGGACCAGTAAGCAAGAGATCAGGCTATGTCTGGTTCATGGCTTTCCCATTTGATGAAGCTATTCTACCAGCATTTTTTAACTGATCATTACACCATTTAAAAAAATCTTTACGTTTCCAGCCTCTGGTAGATAAGTATAAAGAAAATCACAGCAAAGTTTTCTACTTGCCAGTCAAACTGGCCTCAATCCTGCATATACTTTTGCAGTAGTTAAGCTTTACATACAGAAAATCAGACCTCATTACAGGCCTGGTCATTTTAGAAAAAAACAAGTGTATGTCTGGTGAGTGCACAGTTACAGGGAAGGAGAGAGGAAGAATGAAAGGAAATCCTAAATTGGTTCAGTCCCCTTCACTGTGTAGTTTACAAATTGGGTTGGAGGGAGTTTTTCATGTGTCTTTTGGTCTAATTTGCAGGGTGAATTTCAGCAACACCTTCAAGAACTCGTTTGTTCTACATTTGTGGATTGGCAAAAGGTAACATTCTCTAAGGAACTCCTGGAATTTGGTGTTCTTACCTAAAAAAAGAAGTTGTGTACAATTAGAGAGGTCCCATCTAGTTATGATTTAGTGTTCACTTTCTGATACACAGAAGAGACAGCTGTCTTTTTGAACAGGGAACATCCTGCCTTTTGTAGAAGGAAATTCAGAAATTGGTACAGAACAGACTCAAGCAACATCATGGATGACTGAGCAGAACTGTGGGAATATCTAATATTTTTTAGCTTGTCAAAACTTTGAGTCCAAATTTTTAAACCACTTCCTAGAAGCAAAGAAATGTGCAAAACCAATGTCAAGACTTGGAACTGCTATTAATGTAGTGTTAGAAAATTGTTACCTTTGCAAATTTTGTACTTTGGGGCAGTGACCTTGAAGGCTTGAATGAGGTTTTATTCATCAAAGTGGAAAACACGTAAGTATTATGAAATACCTATGATAATCTATGCTTGTATAAAATGGGAAGTAGTGTGAAGAATCAGGAAAGTTATTTTATCTTTGTTTATAGTGTAGATACTGGAATTCTGTGTACTGTTCTGAAACCCTTTTGTAGAAAGTGAAAACACAAGTATCTCAAAATGGTTATAATAAAGTCATAAATTTAAAAATTACAACCTTTATACACAAAATAAGCTTTTCATACATAAAATATCATCTTTGATACTTTCACCCCAGGAATCTACTATAGAAAAACATATTGAGAACTATGACCAGAAAATTTGAACTACTGGAAAAATAGCACATATGTTTAATAGTGGTGATAATGATACCCAAAATTACCAAGAGAAGGGGGCGCCTCTCTGTCTTTAAGCTAAAATTGAAGAGATTCCAGAACTGAGAACATGTTGTTCTACTCAAAATTTGAATTGCTGGATGCCATTCCCAAGGTGACATTATGCAGGAAATCAGGCTGGTGGTATAATAATAATCTTACTAATCTGTGACTCTAAAAGACTTTATTGCCTGAACTCTGCTATTCCTGTGTACCTCCATGCAGATCTCAATACCATTATTGGTATTTATCAAAGTGACAGGAATAAATTACAAATTATTTTCTACTCTTTAGCATTATGTATTGTCTGTTATAAGAGAGAAGGCAAAGTGATCACTGCATTTCATGTTCGGAGCAACTGTTGTACCTGTGAGTGCTGATGAATCATAGTTTGTTAGGGTGGCCCCTGTAAGTCTGCTTGAAAATATTTATGAGATTTCTGTGGTTGCAATTTGCCCATTAGTGGCAGGATAAAAATAAACTTCACAGCTGTCAAGATTCATACTTTTATGTGAAAATATATCTGGGGAGAAAGGAGGGCATCAGAAAATGAGATCAAGCAGTTGCTTTAAACTGAGAACAAAAATATGTCCTGACCAATTTATTTCTAACTCTGATATCTCACATAAACCTTTAATAAGCTTCACTCTTAAGGGAACCAATGTATTTTTTCATTTGGATTTATTATAAGGAAGTTACAGCTTAATTTTAAGACATCTATAATAAATGTTTCTAAGGAAATATGGAAAGAAAGTAACATTAAATCATATTACAGAAAGGAATTCCAAGAACAAAGAATTATTAAATTGCTGATAGTGAATGTGTTGTATTTACTATAACAAATGTGACAGGTTACATTTTGGGTTACCAGCCTGAGGATGGAGTTCTAGAAAAATGTTTTTTAAAGCAGATGACATAATAGCTATGATGCAAAATGAGCTCTCATTCTGTTCTGAGAAAAAAAAAAAAAAAAAGTCCAAAGCAGCTTTGACTGCACAGAGAATTACACTGGTGAAAAAATAATCCACTCAGGTTTTCTCTGGTTGCTGATTTATGAAGCTGGACAATACATTATTGCTTTAAAACAAAAATCTAAAATTCATGCAACTTCCTTCACAGACTAGTAACCTCAAATGCATCTTATTAAATGCTCTGGATTAATAATTTACTTAATTTTAATCATTACTGTAATTTACTGCTCGGAATATAATTTGAATTTACTTTTCATCAAATTTGCCTTTATAATTAATTCTTTGATACATAGCTCTCCCTTGAAAATCACATGACAAAATATATTTGTTTCTTTATCCATCAATATCTACTGTTTTTCATACAGCATGAGCAGAAGCAGCTTATCCAGTGGAAAATTTTTGCCTTCTGCATCTGCAGCAGTATAATTCTCAGTGCAATCAAAATTTCTCTGATGCTGGTTTTATACTGGCTGAAGGAGACTCACTTCACATGGTAGGTATTATTCTATGATACATATCAGTCAATTTCAATGTTTTATGAGTTGTTGACCTTCTATAAATTTCCAAGGGACAGATAGATCCTGGGATAGTGAATTTAAATTATAATGCCAGTAGTCTTGTGTTTTATAGTCCCATTTGAAAGGCCTTTCAGAAGCAGTCACCAAATCCCCAGGGGTCTGTGGGACACAGTGTGGAAATCAGCACCGAAGGAAATATTTGCCAGCCTCCACTGTGAGCGATAGGGATCTGTGTGTGTGTGTCCTGCAGGGCACTGATCAGCCTCAGCTTCAGCTCCCTCCTCCCCATTGCTGTAGTCACACTGAAAGACCAGGATTCCCAATCCACCACAAAGCATAACTGAAGTACTTATAATTAAAATAATACATGGGAGAGGTGGAAATCTGATTTCGGACAGTGTCTTATTTCCAGTCTGACCGCAACACACCATTTTAGAGCCTATTTCCAAAGCAGTGTGCTTTCTCTCCAGTGCAGGCATTGACTCATGCTAAGGAATGTATTCCATTACAGCTTTGCTGGCTTGCACTGTAACTTCATGTAGAACCAGTTAGTTGCTGTGGTGACAGCAACCAACAAACAGAAAAAAATCATGAACTCTTTCAGGACTGGTCAGAGCAGCTTAATGACAGCATCCATCCTTAAAAGTGTAAATATTTCTTGTTTTGCTCTCATTTAAAAGGAGATTTAAGGTGTAATGTCATCCTAAGGCCTTTTATGTTTCCTCCTGTGATATTAAATTTTTGAAGCTATAGAGACTGTAATCTATAGCCATTCTTTCAAGCAAATCTGAAGTTTATCTCCCTAATAACAAACTGATCCACAGTTAAACTTGGTGAAATCCCACTGTCTTTGGAGAGGTATGTGAAAACAGAATCTGAGCTTGCTGATGTGGATAATATTAATCAAGTGCTGAAATCTGTACAATACTTTAATAACCTGAAATTTACTATAACATTCAATGGGGGTGTTTGAAAAATAATATAGGATAAATATAGCATTGCAGTATTTTCAGAGAGGTACAAACTCACCAAGAATTCACAAAAAACAAAAGCCATAAAAAATTAATAAAAAAATAAACTATATTCATTATTGCTCTAATATCGTATTTTATTAGCAATTTCAAGAAAGGCATAGTGTGGGATGCTGTCTATGAAAAGTGGAGATTCCTTGTTTTAAAGAGGAAAAAATATTTTACAAGTCCATTATTCAGTTTTGACCATGGTAATGTTTAGATCTGCAGATACCATCCAGTGACAATGACATGGGTTTAAGGACACTGAGTTATTACAAGCTCTGTGTCAAAGGAGATGGAGCTTGGGGGAAAAGGTTATTTAGGGCTCTTATAGAAAAGGAGGTGATTATTTTGTATCTGGAGGAGATTGTTGTGTTCTCTTCCCTCAGATTACTTTGCTCAATTTGAAGAATGAAGAACCAAGGGAAAAGATCTCACTACAGGTGAGTTTGACCTTTTTGTTCAATCCACTCACCAGCTACAGGGTGACTGCTAGAATCTGGGAATACAGTTTTGTCCATTGCACTGTGACAGAACAGAGTTTCTCTTCTCTTAATGCATTTTGGTTTAGAAGAGTGTTGTAGTTAAAGCTGTTAATGAAAAACTCTTTCTGGCTGTGGGACTCCCAGATCTCCTGGAAGTGTCAGGAGAATTCAAGCAGATTTCCAGCCAAACTACACAGAACCACAGCACAGACCAGGCTGAAAAGGATCTTGAAAGACCATCTGGCCCAGTCTTTCATGGGAGAGGGAGCCCAGATGACATTATCTAGCACCCTGTCCAACTGCACGTTAAAACGCTCCATTTATGGGTACTTCATCCTGTCCCTGGGAAGGCTGTTCCAGTGATTGATAGTTCTCACTACAAAAAGTTGTTTTTTTTCCTAACTGAAGATGGAACTTCTGCTGGAACAACTTGTGTGTCCCATCCATTCCCCCCACCCCCATCTTTTACATATCTCCTTGTGAAGTGACAGCCACTGTCCTGTTTCCACCAGGAAAATGTTCAGCCTAAAATAGTGCAATTCCCTTGTTTCATCAACTCAGTATCAAAGCATTCAGAATCTCTTTGGTTCCTGCCTGCTTGCAGAAGCATCTGTGGAGGGGGCTCTAGGTAACCCCACCAGAGCAGCTCGCAAGGTGTGGTCACAAAATGCTCAGGGGCTCATCTGAATGTCCTGCCATGTCACTGCCAGCCCCACAGAGAGGGCAGAGGGCTCTTCCTCTGCTGCTCTGCTCCATCTGCAAGGAGGACATCTGGGATTAGTGGGCCACCTGAGCTCAGACAGAGGTGACAGAATACAAAAACAGGAATATGGAGTACCTTCATGGAGGTACTCACTGAGAGTTAGGGTATGCCTGGGCTCACTCACCTCAGAGGAGAGTGGCTGTTGCAGCATGTGGGCACTTTTATGGTTATGTATAGATCTGGCACTATACACCCATGTAGTTATTCTCATTCATTGCCATTTTAATGGCCTAACTGATCCATCTGCCATGAAAAACTGTGCATGTAAAAATCAGTGTGGAAAAAACAGACTTGCTATGGTATGAGTTAGGGAATTTGGCTCAGAAGTGATGCATGTGCATATATATGCCTGCAAGGATGTATATTTGTATGCATGTGTGTGTCTGTGTATTTCATTAATAGATGCTGTACTATTGCTTTTGGTATTTCATTAATAGATGCTTTTTGGTAGGTAATTCTCAGCCCATTACTTTCATTGCTAAATTTGTTAATTTGCCCTGTATCCTCAAGGGACTAGATTGACATTGGCAGGATAAGCCTAACGGCTTTGTGATGTCTAGACAAAAGGAATTAAAGACAGCAGAAATACTTGCTCAATATTTTCCTTCTGTGGGAAGTTTCTGTCTCACTCGTAGAAGCCTTTTAATGTAACTTTATTAATGATTTAATATAATAACAAATGTGTGCTGTAATGGAATAAGTGTAAGCATTTTACATGTATTTACAGTTGGCTGGGCAGACTCTCCCTGCTTAACATGAAAGGCAATTTAATATTGTAGATTTTAAATTTAACTAGGAGTGTTAAGTCTCTAGGAATTTTCACTGCAAGTGAAAAAAATCCCATCAGTTAGACTGGTACTATGGAAATCCTCTACTATTTTGAAATGAAGAGAAGGTAAACATACTCTTTGAACAGCAGAAAAAGAACAAAGCAAAATATCTCTGTATGGGCAACATAATCCAGGGAAGATCCACAGATGCATAAATTCTAGGTCAGAGAACACAACCATTATAATAAAAGTCTTGTCTGGCTTCCTACCAAACCACCAGACAAAACATCCTGCTGCATCACTCCCATCATAACAACTGCAACAAGAGAATTAATAGGAGGAGTGCTGACAGCTCTCTTTTCAAATTTGTGTCTTGATTTTTCTTCTCTCACATCTTTAAAGTTATTTACATCAAGGTGTCTTCTGTGAAGAGGATCTGAGATTTGTGGAGGAAGTCTGGTTAGGTCAGAAGATTTTCATAAGAAAATGTCAAAAGAAAAGGGGAATAGAAGATTAAAGGGCAGTTCAAAGAGAAGAGAAAAGATATATTAGTGAAGAAGTCCAGAAAAGAGTGAGGTAGAAAAGTTATATACATATAGATATATATCAGTAGATAAAGAGGTTTTGAAAAGTTTCTATACTTAAGAAGATTGAGCTGACTGAAACTCATCTGAGTGACCAACAAATAACTTTGTCAAGACATTCAGTGTTGGTTCATGCTAACTATTCCGTTCTCTCCAGGACTGTGAAGGAGGTGTTTTGGTAGAACAGCTTAATTAAAATTAAAGAGAAAACCTAAGAAAACCCTCACACATTTCAAAAAAAGACCTGTTTCCTACTGTTGCCATCCTATCCCTTTTTTCTGGAGTGAAGATACCTGCTTCATCTCTCTCCTTTCACTGCCAATCCCAGTTTAGAAGATCCCACATTGCATGGTGGGAAGCTCCAATCTCTGCTGTGTCTCTGTCTCTACACTTGACAGGGGTTTTGGCAACATCTTAGTGTTTCCAATCCTTACCTCCTAATGGGCAGATGAGCCTCACCTGTTACTCTAACTGCTACACTTTCCTTCATGACTGATTACATATCTTAAAATGTGAGGACAATGAAGGAAAAATAAGTGTTGCTTTGCTTTGGAAATCTGCTTATCTCCATCTTTTCCAGCAGAGAAAAGAATGCAGTCCAAACCAGAAAGAGGAAGAATTTAGAAGACTAAATACCAAAGTTTTATTGCCCAGATCTTTTTCATATAGAAAACATAAATTACTGAAGTGATTATATATAACTAATGAAAAGAAACATAGAAGAAAGAATGAAACAGGGAAGAGAGCTTGCAGAAAGATCTCTCAGTTACATATGCTGCATTGTTAGAAAGTTTAAAGATGCATTTTGTTCTGGAAGCCAGGAATACTTTTGTCAAAAACATTGAACTCCATCATGACCCAGATTACGAAAAGGCTTTTCCTTGGCCTTACTAGAAAGGAGAGTCTATGGTGGTTTGGAGGCTGTTTGACAGCCTGGAGCATGGGGCTTAAAATGATCTATTTTTTTTGGACTTGATTTGTTAAGTTAGAGAATACACTGTCAGTCAGCAAACCACAGAACACATGTAACCCAAAACAAAGCTACTAACCAATTTGCAAATGCAACTAAATACAGGATTGTTCACAGTGCCTATCCATACTGGGGTAAAATGCATCCAAAGGCTATCAGAGACTCTGAATTCTCCGAGTTCCTTTACCTCATTCCTTACTCTTTTTATCATGACAGAAGCTGTTCACAATGCTTATATGAAACCTAGCATACACATGGATAAATGTATATGTAGGTACACATGGCCATTCTTAGCTATGCCTTTTTTTTTTCCCTAAAACATGGCTGTGGGTGTTTTCATATGAGTCATCACCAGTGTGGTGCTTTTAACTGGGATTCCAGCTGGGACTGACTGTTCCTGCTCTGTCTGACAGGGGTCTGTGAAGGCACTGTGTGATCTCCTCGTTCTGCCAGTGTTTGCTCCATCCCCTGCTACTGTGTCTCATCCTCCACAGTGGCTCTGGCACTCACAGTCTGTGTTTTCTCAGGCAAGGTTTTTTTTCACTGCTGGCTTTTCAGAACTGATTACCAGGTCACCATAATTACCATATTATAGTCAAAATATACTTTGTTCTCTGTGTCAGTGCCTGAAACATGTCTCTATACGCTCCAGCTTTTTAACACCAATACTGTGCTTGGTTTACGGACATTTGTAATTGAAAAAAATAAATCTGTCGCTAGGTGATATAGAGACATTGTTTATTTTTGGGGTGAGAAAGGTGCATAAGGTTGAGGTATTCAACTCTGTGGCATGCATTTTGTGATTGTGACACCCACTAACTCCCCATAAGTAATACATCAAGTATTTTGTATGCATGAATCATGTTTCCAGTTGTGTGGTTTTGTATAAACCACTGGAACTCATTATAACACAGTTTTTCTCATATCATCGATCAACTTCCCAGTCAAGCCCTCCATTTTTTTAAAACACATATTATATTTATCCTATATTTGGTAGTCATCATTGCATACTAGTACTTCAAAGATGCTTGTTCAGGTAGTTTAACAAGGCAAATATTTCCCTATAAATAGCAAATTCCATTACAAAGGATCATCTATTTTTCTACTTCTCAAACTAATAATAAGGAAAGTTCAACTAGAAAGATGCCAAGTGTTGGGGATTTCAGACAGTAAATAATTGTGACAGTTGGCAATACTCTGGAGTTTGCAGTACATCATGCTTCTGTATTCCCTGACCTGTGATTTCAGATGTCCTGTTTCAGTCTTTACCAAATCCTTAATTCTGTAGGGAAGTAAAATATCCCTGAGAAATTTTGTTTTTCTGAAAGCAAACTGTTGCTATAGCAAAATATGATGTCTCAAATTTGACTACAATGGAGGTTAAAGGAGAGCAGGATACTTTAGAAAATAAATCATCCCTGCAAAATCACTGAAAATGACTGTTTAATAAACAAAAGAGGGTGGAATTAGATTTAACTGAAAACTTTCCTGTTAATGAAAAGTCTCTTTCTTTAGTAGAATCTACCAGCTTATGTTTTCCATTTAAAATTATTTGCATCTTTGTTCCAGGTGCAAAGTATGTATATTTCCTTTAACTGTATTCTTACATCCATGTAACTTAGAAGATGAGGCTGGCCTTGCAGTACACAAGTAAGTCCCTGGACTGGATTTGCCTTCTTCTGGATACTCAGGACAGCTGCCCCACTCAGGAGGAAAAAAACCCCAACAAAACATAATGATTTATATCGTGATATAGCATTGCAAATATTTGCCTTCCTCTGGAATCCCAGCCTACAGCTGCCCCTGGCCTGAGGGGAGCCTCTCAGCTCCATCTCCCAGCCCACCAGCTAAATCACGCTGGAACTGGATTT